CCCGTGAGCAGTTTCTCTCCCTGGTCAATTTTCTATCACACTAAAAGGTGATCTCTTGAAGTTCTTGTGTATTTTCATCATGTTTAGTGCAATACCGTAAACCCTTCCTAAATGCATATGACATATCGCTAGTGATGCTGGATGTGCTCCCAAAAAGCAGAGGGAAGTCATGTCATTACAAGAAAAAGTTGAATTGCTTGATCTGTACCATAGACTGAGGTCTGAACTGCAGTCATCGCCCTTTCAACAGATGATTCATCTTGTAAACAGACCACAACAAACTTGTATTACTGATAAATACAGCATAGTACTGTAAATGTATCTTCTCTTCCTTATGATTTTCTTAATAACATTTTCTCTTCTCTGGCTTACTTTGTTGTAAGAATACAGTATACAACGCATGTAACATACAAGTACTTGTCAATTGACTGTTTATGTCATCAGTAAGGCTTCCAGTCAACAGTAGGCTACTAGTAGTTACGTTTTTGAGTTGCTGGAGGGAGGCCAGGGAGGCAGCTGACACTTCGTAGCCACACAAAGCTTGTCCTCTAGTTGAGTGGCTGAGGTGACACTATAGCCTAGGACGCCAGAGAGGATGCTAGAGAGAGACCAACGACCTGTGGGAGGAAGACTGCTCATCTGTCTTGGTGATTAGGGGAGGGTGGAAGGAGGGATAGAAGTTCGGCCTGTCCATATACCTCTAACTGCAGGACCAAGGTGACAGGCACGCAAGGGAAAGGGAAGGAGGCATTAATAATTTTAGATAAAGTTCCATTACACCAGAAATATCCTCTTGGTGGTGCATAGAGGGAGGATTTTACCTTTACTGTGGTGTTATAGCTGGGACTGGAGCTGCTGGCTGTCTCATGGCAGAGAGAGAAATTTTGAGGGTATACTTGGAACAAGGGGATATCTGTTAAGATGGTGCCGGGTCCCATAGGTGATTGTGACAGATTGAACCCAGACCTGAGGGGAACTGCAGCTAAGGGGGGGTTGCTGAGAGAGGCACATAAAAAGCAGTTGGTGATATTCATATCTTTAGTTAAATTTAACATGTTGGCTCCCTGCTGTAAAAGACTGAGAGGTATTATCTGAGGGTTTGAATTGGTTAGTTAAGATGGCTTCATTTTACAGGATTGTATGGCTTACAGAACTGAGCTGTTCTATTGCTTCAGAGACAATGCGGGTATAGGACCGAAATATTAGCCATGTTCCCTGAGGGTGGCTCCAGGTATAATCTTCACAGACTTTACCAGACACTCCTGTATCCTAACGGCTGTGCCGGGGTCACAGATGTTGAGGGCTAAGGAACCATTGCTGAAGTGAGCGAGCTTGTGGTTGGGACAGTTTGGAGGCTGTGGCTTGCGAATAACACAAGAGCTGTATGGGCACCCCCTATAGGTGGTGTGTCCCACCAATGACAGTAGTCCTTGGTTTGGTCATATAGAAAACACAGCTGAAAGTGAAACCCATGATTGCGACCGAGTATGGTGCTTTTACCATGTGGGATGAGGATGGAGACAGTAGACTGACAGCTGCCTGTTTGGCAGTTTGCCTGTGCAAGATTCCTGGTGGTGGGGCCCTCAGTCCAGGATTCCTGGGTTGCAAGGATCCTGGTTTGAGCTCTTGGAGGAGAACGCTGTCACCCGGCTGGAGAGGTGCTGCCGGGTGGAGGTCCTCTGGTCCTGGAATGACAGGGAGAGTGCAATTGGCGTGCTCCCTGAGTGCTTGGCGGAGGAGAGAGAGAAACGAAAGGTAGGAGGCCAGTGGTGGTGGTCGCGCAGGGAGATTATGGGAAACCAGGAAAGGCCGGCCGTACAGCAATTCGAAGGGGCTCAGGCCCATTGGCCCCCATGGGGTGGTCCGGATATGGGCCAGGGCAAGAGGTAGGAGTGTGGGCCAAGAGAGTTTTACCTCAATAGCAAGTTTGGCCAAATGGTCTTTGAGGATGCCGTTGGCCTGTTCAACTTTACCCAATGACTGAGGATGGTAAGGGATGTGTAGTATCTAGATGTTGAGGGACTCAGCAACCAGCTGGACTACTTGGGCAGTAAATGCTGGTCCAACTGGATGGTGGCAGGTAGGCCGAAGCGAGGGATGATTTCTGGTGTAAGAAATATCCCTAGCAAATAATTGCCACTGTGAAGGCTAATACCATAGTCTTTGGTTACTTAAAACCTAAAGTCTTGTTATCTTTAGGCTTAAAAGAAATTTGTACTTGTAGTTTTTGGAGCAGATTCCTCCCCAACAAAGGAACAGGGCAGCTGGGAAGATATAAGAACTTGTGCCACACCTCTTGCCTTCCAGTGACATATTTTGATTGGCAAAAGGGTTTGTTTTTGTTCATTTTTACCTGATACTCCTATAGCCACAATAGTAGTAGTGTAAGACAGTGACCCACCAGTTTGGATCATATGCCACCACTAGGTATTGCATGGGGGTAAACCGCATGATCTTTATAGACCGTTCTCCAGTCTGGGCCAGGTTTTAGACTCTGGTTTAGCTCTATCTTTTTCTTGCTCTCTTGCATCTTTCTTTCAACTAAGGCAGGTGCTAGTAAATCTGCCTTTTCCTTTTGCCTCACGCCTTGCCCTTCTCTTAGCCCCGGTCCTGTGCAGGGAGGGCACAAAGCAGCAGAGTGTCTGCAACCCACGTGCCACCTTTCCAGTGCTACTACAAAATTTGCAAGAAGCAAGAAATGGTCATTTATCAGAATGATACATTTATTTTTATATTTTTTTAATATAAAGTGCTGCAGGCTCCAACGTTGCTCCTGGGCATCTCAGGTTGCTCCTGGACCTCAGGGCCTTCGTCCTCTCCAATCTAAATGCAGAGACATTTGACATGAACATGTTTTGCAAAATGCGATACGTTCTTATTGACTCTGGTCACCCTGCTGTGCACTAGAGTCAAAACCTCTTCCTCCTGTCTAGACTTTGGTCCTTTGACCAATACCCCCCCATTCCCTCCCTCTGCCACTCTCCGGCCCCGGAGATTTGCCAATTAAAACAGTACTACTAAAGACAGAATAAATATTGCAAGAAGTGAGGCTTCACCGCCCACGTACTTACTTTTTCTCTTGGGTGGGCCCTCTTACTCTGCCTCTTGGGTGGACAGAGGCAGCAACAGCATCTCCTTATTATGGCAATGCACCTTCGGGCAGCCCTGCGGCAGCTCCAGCCTCTTGTTGGCTGGGTCAACACAGCCTCGGGCTGCCCAGCTTGGAGGACGCTGCCTTCGTGTCCTGGTTGTTGAGCCACGGTGCTCTGGGTGGTGATCTGGGTGGAGGCGGCCGTGAGGTTATGCGGGAGGGCTGGTTGAGCCAAAGTTTCTAAATTTTCGCTGCCGGTGGAGCACTTGGTGAAGGCTGCAGACACGAGGTCACGCTGGGGGGCTTGCTCTGCCAAGGTTTCTAAAGCACCACCACCGCCTATGGCGCTTACAGTGGAGGAGGCCACACGGTCACACTGGAGGGCTTGCCGTGCCAAGTTTTCTACATCTCCACAATTGCGCTCGATGGTCAGGGGCATGCTGGGGGTCTGACTTCCTGTGAAGGCCGGCAGGTGAACTGGAAATCTCAGTGACTAAACATGTAGGATCCCCAGGAGCAAGAGACTGTGGAGTGGTAATGGATGGCTTTTTTTCCCCATCTACAATACGGTAGGTGGCCATGGGATAATTAAAGACGTTGTCTTCGATTGCCTTTACGATGTTTTCTGGCTTCAATCCCATGGCCACCAAGAGCCTTACGGTCTCACAGTTCGGGTGGTCTTCAATCGGCTCTTCGTACGTCGCTGGAGGCAAGTCCTGGCCGTTGTTCACCCACGGGTCCCTCAAGACTTTGTCTACTGTCGGCCGCTCATTGGGATTAGATATCAAAAGGTTTTAATTAGGCTTTTTAGGCCTTCTGAAAAATAGTGCCGAATAACATACTGGCCAGATAGAATGAGGGATATCAGTTGGAAACGACTCACTGCGAAGAAGGGCAGACTGTTGGACACCATCTGGTATAACGTGACGCTCCATATGTCCATGGCGGGACATTCATAGCCCTGGGCCCCAAAGAGTTCTGGGGCCATGTAGGGGAGGGTCCCATGACCTGCTCTCAGCCTCTGCCCCTCATGATAAATCGTGGCTGATCCAAAATCGGAAATTTTGATATGTCCTTTACCGTCTAACAGCATGTTGTCAGGTTTTAGATCTCGGTGAGCGATTTTTCTTTTGTGGAGGTAGCTCACGGCGGACAGCATTTGTTGGAACATGCCTCGGGCCTCCTCCTCCTTTATGATGTTTTTATCGAGCCAGTCGGCCAGGCTTCCTCCTTCTGCGTATTCTAATACCAGCTGGCACGCCTCTCTGGTATTAATGATCTGGTAAAGCCGAATGATGTTACTGTGGCTCACCGACTTTAAAATAGTCGTCTCTCTGTGGCTAGAGAGGAGGCCGGTTTTGTTGATTGTTTTCACCGCCACCCGGGTGCCAGTTATTAAATGCCGGGCCAGCGTCACCACGGCCTATGAATTTCAGTATTTGATAGTAAGGTGGCCGCAGGGCAGGTGAGGTGGAGGCCACTCCCTGCTTCATGGTATCTCTAGATACACTATCCAAGTAACTACTCTAACTCTACAGTAAACAACACTACTTACTATCCCAAATACACTAAAACACTAAGCAATACTAACTATATTAACTATGCTAACAACGCTACCCAGAAAAAACAACGCCCCTCCCACAAAAACTCCCCCACCACCCCAAACAACTCGTAATCGCTAAGCTGGTCTGAGTCCACAGGTCACCAAAAAAGCTTCCAGGGATTTCTCAGACCAAAAACCATGACCCAGCCAGGGCCTTATATAGGCCTGTCTGTTATGACATCACAAAGGCTTTTCATGAGCTCAGAGCAAAGCAGGGCCAATCATGGCTGGGGATCTTTCACAGAGGTTTTCTCTCTTTTGGTCCCCAAAACATCTTCCTCTTTTAAAGATTATAGAGATTGATATTTCGTTTCCCAGCTATTTAAACTGGTACAACGCTTCAACAGCATTTTCATTTGTAGTTCCTTTTTCTATATTTATTGTACTCTTAAGTTCTGGGGTACATGTGTAGATTGTGCAGGTTTGTTACATAGGTTTAACGTGCCATGGTGGTTTTCAATCATTTGTAATTTCAAAATCTGAAATAGCTTTTGGATTTTGAAGATCTCCTCATGTCTACATGCAAAATATTCAATTCCTTTTCTTTCATCTCTCAATGGTTGATGTCAACCATTGAGAAGGGAGAGAATATTTTTTTTTCCTTGTAGGGTTTTTCCTTCCTCATGTGGTTGAGATTATGTAATGGACACAGAGGAAACAGACATACCCTACCCTCCATGAGCCCATAGCCTCTTCAGGAAGGCCCCCCAGCCATGAAGCTCCTTCAGCGTGAGAAGCACCAGGTGAAGTGGGGCCAGAGAACAGTGGCCTGGGCCTCAGGTCAGCGCTGGGTGAGGGAAGAAGCGGGGCTCTCTGGAGGCCAGTGTGCTGAGCCCTGTGGTGTGAGGAGCGGTCGCCTAAGTGAGTAGGGACAAGGGCAGGAGGGTAGCCTCTGTGAAGGCCCAGGATGATCGAGGGTGGCTCTCTGGAGGGATGCACTAGTCTGAATGAGTGACAGGGGCCAGGTTGGGAGGGATTGAGTCCCGCTGCTCACAGCACCCCCCCAACCAGTCTACATCTCTGCAGCTCTCTCACCACCTTCCCTACTTCATTGATCTCCATTGCACTTAGCAACATCTGACGTTTGCATATTTCACTTGCATATTTCTTTGTCAGACTCTTGCATGTAAACTTCACGAAAGCAAGTGTTTTACATGTTTTATTTACAGTGGTATCCACAGTACCTAGGACAATGGATAGATACATAGAGGACACTCGACTAATATTTCTAATATTTCAATGAATAAATGAATGTTTGAATGAGAAGAAAACAAACAAGAAATTACTAAAGTGAATTGATTAGAGTTTTTTGGGGGAAATTTTCTCATTCCTGGGACGTGGCGTGTGCACGTACACACAGCCAAGTAAATGCTATGGTGAAATTAGACTTACTTTCTTACATCTTCAGGCTGTCTCATAAAGTATTTGAGACTCTAGGATTTTCGCAATAAACTTGCTGATGCAGCTGAGTTATAATATGACAGAATGGATTTGGGCACTAGTGTTATGCTTGAAATGTAACAATGCGGTTGGTTTCTAAAGGAGTAGTTGGTGACATGGTGAAATCACTGGTTGCCCCGATAGGATAAGGCCAGCAGCCCCTGTGATCTAGCCATGTTGATAAGGATAAGGATTCCACCCAGCTGTTTTCTTTAGGGAGCCACCCTGGCTATCTCCCTATAAGAGCCTAAAGAAACAGTACAAGCAGCTACCATTGCACCAGCCAGGACTGCTCCTGGAAATGCCATCTCCCACTGGGCAATAAAACTTTTCTCAGGATCTGCCTGTGCCCAGCCCTTATCTAGAACAGAAAGAAACCATAACCCATAATTTCCCCCGAGGATTCCAGCACCTCCCCACTCACTCCCCTATGAGTCTCAGGAAGACAGGTTTGTTTTCCTGTGAGAATCTGTCTCTTTGCAAAAGGTCTGTTTTCCCAAACGAAAAGGAATTTGCTTCAGTTCTGCTTCTGGAACTAGAAAGCCAGGTCTTCAGCAAACTATTGTACAAAGGGATAAAGTCACAGTTGCCATGACCTCAAAGTAACATCAACAAATACTTACTGGGTGTAGGACATTGTGCTAGCTGCTGTGAGGGAAGAAGAATGGATATCTTTCCAAAGATCTTAAGAGATACAGACTCATTTTCCATTAAAAACTAATTACTTGGCCAAGCATGGTGGTTCATGCCTGTAATCCCAGCACTTTGAGAGGCCGAGACAGGAAGATCCCTTGAGCTTAGTTCAAGACCAGCCTGGGCAATGAAACCCCATCTGTACAAAAAATACAAAATTTAGCCAGACTTGGTGACTTGTGCCTGTGGTCCCAGCTACTTCAGATGCTGGGATGGATGGATCACTTGATCCAGGGAGCTAGAGGTTGTAGTGAGCTGAGATTGTGCCACTGCACTCTATCCTGGATGACAGAACAAGGCCCTATCTCCAAAAACAAAATATACTAAGCACTGAGCTCTGTGAGGTCGTCAGTATCATCAAGAGGCTTAGCTTTGTATGAGCTCCATTCTGAGAACCTGGGAGGGTTGAGTCTGTGCCAATATCCTGCTGTGCTGCGGGATGGAGCCAAGCCTTGACCTTTTGGGTTGCCACCAGAATAAAGCTGCAGATAGAAAATGGGGGGGAGGGGGGGAGTGGAAGAAGGAATCTCAGAGGGGAAGAAAGGACCTCCAGCTTCAAATTGAGACAATTTTACAAAAACGTAATGAAGGCTATGCACCACATTCAGGTGTATGGCAAACTATGACCCATCCCAGCTTTTGTATGTACCGTTTGATGGGAAGGCAGCCACAATTCATTTTTTTTTTGTTATCTATGATGCTTTTGTGCTTCAGAAGTAGAGCTGAGCAGTTATGATACATACCGTATGGCCCAAAAGTTAAAACTATTTACTATCTGGTCCTTTACAGAAAAAGTTTACCAACCTTTGGTTTTGAACATGAACAAGAGTTCTGCCAGTCTGACGTGTACTTTTGTTCAGACGAGTAAGGTTACTCCAGGGATTTCCAGCTGTTTCCTTTCTACCTATTCCCCCTCATTGAAATTGCCTGTAATTCCCCCAGCTGCACTCTCCTGTAACATTAGGCAGAGAGATGGAAGGCTGTATGCACTTGGAGCTACACACATCTGTGCAGTGGGTTACATGAAGGGGAGATTAACACCAGCTTCCTTTTCTAAGACAGGGTCTTGCTCTGTCACCCAGGCTGGAGTGCAACGGCATAATCATGGCTCATAGCCTCAAACTCCTGGGCTCAAACAATCCTCCCACCTCAATCTCCCGAGCAGCTAGGACTACAGGCATGCACCACCATACTGGATAATTTTTAAATTTTTTTCTTGAGACAAGGTCTCACTGTGTTGCTCAGGCTGGTCTGGAACTCCTGAGCTCAAACAATCCTTCTGCCTTGGCCTGCCAAAGTGCAGGTATACAGGTATGGGCCACCATGCCTGGCCAACACCAGCTTCTTTAGAAATGAAAGACCATGTGAATACATGTTAAGAAAAGCAGTTTCCTGTATTCTTCTGTAAACATTGAGAATTTATTTTTCCTCCACTGGCCTATGTGGTTGATCAATAATCACAGTAATTTTCATAACATTGTATGGTTTGGCATGACATAAGTAAAAATAAACCCAGAAGCCATCATTCTCAGCAAACTAACACAGGCACAGAAAACCAAACACGGTATGTTCTCACTTAGAAGTGGAAGAGAGGGGACCAACACACACCAGGGCCTGTCGGAGGTAGGGGGCGAGGGGAGGGAGAGCATTGGGACAAATAGTATTGTAACCGAGGTTTAAAACCTAGATGATGGGTTGACAGGTACACCACACCACCACGGCACACATGTATCTATGTAACAAACCTACACATTCTGCACTTGTATTCCAGAACTTAAAATAAAAATAGCTAACATGTATTGAGCTCTTACTAAATGCCAGTCCCCATTCTAAGAGTTTTATGTGAGCTGTCCTATTGAATCCTCATTATTGCCGCAAGAGATAAGGACTCTCATCACCGTCATTTTACAGATGAGCAAACTGGGGAGGAGAGGGGTTAAGTAATTTGCCCATGGTCAGACACACAGTAAGTAGAGAAGCAGGGTTTCAAACCACTCCTGCGCCATGACCTTGGCCACTACATTCTGTACCGCTTGCCTCAAGAAATGTGAAAATAAACAACTAAAAAATCTAATTGGGAAGTAAATTCTCTCATCAGACATTCAACATTTAAGTATTTGTCAAGTGCTAATACCAAATGCTAATATGGAAGGACAATGTTAATTTTTATCTACATTGATCTATGATTTTTCAGATAAATATCTTGAAACTAAATTTTTAAAACCTGTAACTTTTAGTAATTTCTATTCTCTTCTGGGTCTTTATTGGACTTTGATTTCTTTCTTTTCTTTTTATTGGGAAGCATTTCTAAGTCATTCTTATCAAACTCAACTATATAAGATTGTCATAAACTAGTGATTTTCTTCTCATTACATCTGAAACGCAGACAGTGAGAAGAAGCAAGACAACTACAATCTTTGTTTTTATATTTTATTTAACTATATTTGCCAAGATACTTGCAAAGCCTGTGGAGGTCTAGGAACAGCATCTCCAGTCACCAATGTTTCTTTTCTTGCGCTTCAATCTCTAGTGATTGATCAGGGGCCTCCAAGTAGCAAGTTCTTTGTTTGGGGAAGGGATTGTAACTCATTCCTGACATTTCAGTTAACAACTTTGAAAGAAAAGGTTTTTAAAATCCAATGAAACTCCTAAAAAATAATTGACTTTGCTTCTGCCCCCATGTTCTCCTCCAAAGAATCACACCTGAAAGTTTCCAATGATTCCACCAGCGGATTTCCCTCCTGTTTTAATTAATATTGTAGGGTGGAGGTCCTATACGCTGGAGACTTTTATATCTGTGTTTGATGTTACAACAAATAGAATTTGAAAATATATATATATTTTTTGAAACGGAGTCTGGCTCTGTCGCCAGGCTGGAGCACAGTGGCGCAGTCTTGGCTCACTGCAACCTCCACTTCATGGGTTCAAGCAATTCTTCTGCCTCAGCCTCTCAAGTAGTGGGGACTACAGGCGGGTGCCAAATGCCTGGCTAATTTTTGTATTTTTAGTAGAGCTAGGGCTTCTCCATGTTGACCAGGCTGGTCTTGAACTCCTGACCTCAGGTGATCCATCCCTCCCAACGTGCTGGGATTCCATGCATGAGCCACTTTGCCCAGCCAGATTCAATGCACTCTCTATTAAAATACCACTGGTATTCTTCATGCAAATAGCAAAAAATGACCGGGTGCATGGTGGCTCATATCTGTAATCCCGGCAGTTTGGGAGGCCGAGGTGGATGGATCACTTGAGGTCAGGAGTTCAAGAGCAGCCTGGCCAACATGGTGAAACCCTGTCTCTACTAAAATACAGAAATTAGCCAGGCATGATGGCGTGCCTGCTTGTAGTCCCAGCTACTTGGGAAGCTGAGGTGGGAGAATCACTTGAACCCAGGAGGTGGAGGTTGCAGTGAGCTGAGATTGTGCCACTGCACTCCAGCCTGGGCAACAGGGTGAGACTCCAGTCCCCCCCCCCACCAACCCCCGTCAAAGAAAAAAGAGAAAGATATATTGTTCAGCATGGTGACTATAATTAATGAAGAAATATATTGAAAAATACAGACTAGTTCGAAGTGAGTTACCGCAACTGGTTGTTGAGTCAATTGTGTATTGAA